TGTATGGCCAGTTCAGGACCCACCTGAAGGCGTTTCTTGCTCTTCCTCATTCTTCCTGACCATGACCTAACCTTGTCGTCATTCTCTGCTTCCATTATTTCGTATTTCTTCAGGCCAAATGGGGGGGGGGGGGACAAAACCCACCTCTTTGCCAAATATCTGAATGGCTTGGAAATACCAAGAGGGTTTGAGGCATATCTTGAAAGTCATAAATAGATAAACCCTTTTGAACTGTTTGGACTGGAGTGTGCACTATGCAGTCAATTCAGAACTGAATGTCAGTTTCTTTCTTTCTTCCTCTTTTCCCCCAAATAACACAAGCCAGAGGCTGGGTTTGCCGTCCCAGTTGGCCCACGGCTCGTAGCTGAGAGGCTGATGCTTATAATCCTGACAACATAAACTTGCAGAGGCTTAGCTGTGATGTTTATGAACCACAAGTAGTCTCGTAAAATTGCCACCCAGAAACCACATTTGAGCAGAACCCAGAGTAGCCAACATCCTGGGATCAGGGCCGGATAGCATCTTTGACCACTTAAGGCAGGGTCTCCCAGCCTTGGGGACTTTGGTGACCGACCCACTTTGGATCCTGCAACCTTATCCTGGGACATATATAATTTGCCTTCATTCATTGGCAAATTTAAGGCTTGTGGACTTCAACTCCCAGAATTCCCCAGCCAGCCAAGGCTTGTGGACTTCAACTCCCAGAATTCCCTAGCATGGCTGGCTAGGGAATTCTGGGAGTTGAAGTCCATAGTGGGCAAAATTGAAAAACCCTCTCTTAAGGTGCCATATCCTAGTTCACAAAATGAACAGAGATCCTTATTCTCTTTTATTTGGAAATAATTTGATAGCGCAGGGAGAATAACGTCCTGCTGCCAAAATACAAGCCGGGTCCATCTGTTTCATGTCTTTTCCGCAAACATCTCTCTGCGTCTTTGTGGATTTGTTTTGTTTGAATGGCGCAAGCTGCTTCGTGGGCCTTCTCCTCTCCCACCCCTTCCCTCTTTCGCTTGATGCATGCAAGATTTTCGGGGATGAATAAGAGTTTCTACTCTTTATTTCTAATAAAAGCTCTTTCTGTGATTCATCTTTCTGTCTCTCTCGGAAACCCTGCTCATCTTAATTATATGTTGTGACATTTTCATAAGCTGGTTATCTGTTGGGTAAACAAGGGAAGTGTGCGTTTTATACTTCTCCCAGAGAAATTGACTTTCAGTTTCCAGGCCTGGGTTCTCGGCACAATGCTTTCAGCCCTCGATGGCTAGGCTCAGATGAGATCCGAGATAGAAGTACTTTCCCGATAAGGCGAAAAATAAAAATAAAATAATGGAATTTCCTATTGCATCAAACCACCCCTTTGTTTCCACAGATACAGATATGGTTGCGGTGGAATTTTGCTGTCCAGGATGGTTGCTGATGACAGCTACTTGGAAACTAATCTCTCCTAAATAGACCCTGTTGTCAGGGAAAAACAGCCTGGGGATATTTTGGGCCTTGAAATACAGGTAGTCCTCAGCAATTCGTTTAGTTCCAAGTTACAACGGCACTGAAAAAAGTGACTTACCACCGTTTTTTCACAGTGGGCAACCTTGGCAGCATCACCCGTGAAGCCGTGATCGAAATTCAGACCCTTGGCCATCAGTTCATACTTATGACCATTGCAGCATTCTAAGATCCCCCTTTGCCACCTTCTAAAATGCTTGGGGAAGCCAGGTTCACTTAGCAACAGGGTGACTTACTTAACAACCACAGGGATTCCCTGTGGCAAGAAAAGGTCGTAAAAACGATCGAAACTCACTTAACAAATTCTCCCTTAACCACAGAAATGTTGAACTACCTGTCCCTTAACAGTCCCCTTTTTTGAGCCCAAGCCCTGCGCACCATCCAGGTTTGCCTAAAATAAGTGCGTGGAAGGAGGAAGCGAGGTGAATCAACCAGAACTTCTCAAGGTTTGCAATGGGTGGACTTCAACTCCCAGAATTCCCCCCTGGGGGATTCTGGGAGTTGAAGTCCACCCATCTTCCAAGGTGACAAGCTTGGGAAACACTGCCGTGAACGTCTTATTTATATTTATTCACATTGTAAAAGAAGTTTTAAATATTTTTTTACTCTCCCATTGGATGCTATTGGAAGCCCACCAACCAAGAGGATGAGAATGGTTGTTTTATCAATCTTGAGAGATTCTAGAGATGGTATACAGTTTTTACATTGCCTTTGCAAGCAGCAAATTACACCAATTAAATATGTGCACCACAAAGAAAGATGTTCCTTTACTCGCCTGGAAATGTTCGCCATTCCGTCTTTCTCGAACGATTGCAGCTTTTAATATTCTGGAAAAAAATGCCTGCTAGAGCCATTTTGTTTTGTTTTTTTAATTCAATATTGGGCCCTATGATGTACGGTGTACAAAAAAAGGGAGCACCGTAACAGTTCGGAATAACGCTGTCTGGATAAAAGGCAACTTAATAAAAACTCAGAAGATTGATGAGGGTGGGGAACCAAATAAACCACATTGTGTAATTATGAGCCAAGCCTGTCTGCCGATGTATGTATGAGAGAGAGAGAAAAAACAATTGATATTGTTTTTTTTAGAGGTCACTCTGCTCTTGCCTGATTCTTCTCTGACAACGCACTGTGATTTCTAGTCGGTCACTCCTACATTCTAATTTTTAATTTTAACATGGATGTATTTTAATTTTTAAATGGATATGTCTCTTTGGTTGTTGTTTGTTTAAAAATACCCAGATTTGTAGATTGTTTGAATTGTGCTAAGCTAAATGGCTTAGCTTTCCCTAAGCTGTTGTACAACAATATACAGGAATCCTCCACTTACAACATTTTGCTTAGTGGCCATTCAAAGTTACAATGGCATTGAAAAAAGTGACCCAATCTGGGTCCTCATTTTACCAACCTCAGAAGGATGGAAGGCTGAGTCAATCTTGAGCTGGTCAGAATCGAACTCCTGGCAATTGGCAGAATTAGCCTGCAATACTGCATTCTAATCATAGGGAAGGAAAGGAAAGGAAAGAGGAAGGAAGGAAAGAAAGAGGAAGGAAGGATCGAAAAGAGGAAGAAAAAAGGAAAGAAAAGATGAAGGAAAGAAGGAAGGATCGAAAAGAAGAAGGAAAGAAAGAAAGGAAGGAAGGAAGGACCATTTTTCACACTTATGACCGTTGCAGCATCTCCATGGTCATGTGATTTACATTCTGATGCTTGACAACTGACTCTTATTATGACGGTTGCCGTGTCCTGGGGTCATGTGATCCCCTTTTGCAACCTTCTGACAACCAAAGTCAACATATTCACTTAACATCTGTCTTAACTCATTCAAGAATTGCATTGATTCACTTAACAAACATGGGGAGAAAAGTCGTAAGATGGGGGAAAACTCACTTAACAAATGTCTGACTTAACAACGTAAATGTTGGGCTCAATTATAAGTCAAGGACTACCTGTATGGGTTTTTAAGTATCCAAAACATTAATCATAGTTAAAATGGAAAACATGCAATAAATCAACCCCATTGATTTTGCTTTCTAATTGCACTTTCTTAAAAGGACAGTTTTATATGTTAAAGAACTTTTTTCCCCGTCTCTGAGGATTAGTAGGTGGGGGGATTCCTTCTGCAAGCCCAGAGAATGTGAGTTAAAACGTATGACTAATGCACAACATATTAGTCATGTCCTTTTAATAGGAGCAACCTTTGAGGCACGTTTGGTGTGAAGCAATGTCTGGTTTATTTATTTGTTTTCTGACTCCTATCTCGGCCACAGTCCTTTGTTCACGTATCCTTTGCTTCCATGATAAACCTCAGAAAGCTGGCTCTACTTTGATAATACTTAAATCTCACTTTAAAGCATTCTTTTCCATTTTAGCACAAATAGAATAAGAGTTGATGCTCCCGATTAGTTTCCATTAATTTATTGCTGTAGTCAATTTATTGCTGTAGTCTTTGCACAAGAATCTTCTAATCTAGACGAATAACAATAGCATTTAGACTTATATACTGCTTTACAGTGCTTTACAGCCCTCTCTGAGCAGTTTGCAGAGTCAGCCCATTGCTCCCAACAATCTGGATCCTCATTTTACCAACCTTGGAGGATGGAAGGCTGAATCAATCTTGAGCTGGTCAGGATCGAACTCCTAGCAGTTGGCAGAATTATCCTGCAATACTGCATTCTAAAGGGAAGGAAGGAAAATAGCAATAGCACTTAGACTTATATAATACTTCACCCTGCTTCAGAGCCCTCTCTAAACAGTTTACAAAAGTCAGCATATTTCCCCCAACAATCTGGGTCCTCATTTTACCAACCTTGGAAGGACGGACGGCTGAGTCAACCTTGAGCCTGGTGAGATTCGAACTGCCAAATTGCAGGCACCGGCAGTCAGCAGAAATAACCTGCAGTGCTGCACTCTAGCCACTGCGCCACCACGCTTGTTAAGAGTTAGGTAAGAGCCAACAGCACTCGAAGGTTGGATAGATCTTGCTTGTAACTATGTAGGGACTCTAGGCTGGTCCCTCTCTTCACTCTTCCCCTAGCTTCTGCCACTCATTCTCCCACAGCGGGATAGCTGTAAGAATAAATAAAATGAGATAAATTGGGGGAATCCAGTGTCATGGGAATGGAAGAAGTCTGCTTGTGTAACTCCTCCTTTTCCCCATATATTCTCAAAATCTGCTTTAAGGGAGTTGGGAGAAGTCTTTGAAACAGGTTGCTATGGAGAAATGCGTTGGCCAGTGAGTGTGGATTCCATTCTTTCTTGAACCAACATCTATCAACTCGAGCATTGGGTTTTATACAATATAATATTTGCTCCCACTCAATATATACACACGCCTTCCAAAACCGTTGATGTTTCTTCATGCAATGTTTTAATATTAGGGCACAGTCAATGCACCCCTCAAGTCGAAACTGGATGGTAGCAGTTTCTTTGCACTTTGGTGAAGTGGCTTGCGAAGGCAGGGTTGACATCATCCCTTGGTTTTTGTGTCTTTCTAGGTGGCGATAAAAATCATCGACAAATCTCAGCTTGATTCTGTCAACCTGGAGAAAATTTACCGGGAGGTACAGATCATGAAAATGCTGGACCATCCACATATTATCAAGCTTTATCAGGTATGTAACTCTCTTGCCTGTAGAATCTGAAGATTAAAATGTGATGGGAACGCAACCTTTTTACCAGTCATAAATTTATCCATGCTTGGTTGCCGTTGGTGGAATTATTAAGTAGTAATTAATTCATCCCTGTGTACAAATCTGGGAACAATTTGATACTTCAGATCCTTCAAGGTTAGTTTTTTACTTCATCCTTTTTTGAATGTTAACAACTGCCTGGCTTTGAATAATTCATGAATTCACAAGCCTGAACTTCCCTTGACTTCAGTAACAAAATGCCAAGGGGAGCTGGCCTTAAAATTGTTGGCTCAGTTATTGTTGAAAGGCACAGAGTTTTTAATCGATTTAGGCTAGACTGCAGGGATTCTGTTCGGTTTGGAAAATCGGTCGCAGCAGCAGTTCTTCAGAATGCCAGACTCTTGACTTATGATTGTTAGCAAGTACAGATGGATTGTTGTGGCCGCCAGCAGCCAGCAAAGCTGGCGGCAGACTCGGACAGTGAGGGGCCAGTCCTGGAGTCTGGGGAAGGCTCTGATGAGGGCTCTGCGTCGGAGGCAGAAATGGGGCCAGGGCTGTCTGACAATTATCAGCTGCCTTTGGAGTCGGAGATCAGTGGGGCAGAAGAACAGCTGGAGCCTGTTCCCAGTGTGCACATGCGCAGAGCTGCCAGGAGAAGGGAACAGTTAAGGAACAAGGGTCGACTCGGGAGTAAAAGCACAGGTGGACGATGAATGGCCCCTCCCATAGGGAATAAAGAGCGAAAGAGGAGTGGGGTTTGCAGGAGACAATTCGTTCAATACATTAGGATGAAGATCTGTTCCTGAGTTCTTGCCAAGTAATTGCTGCTACAGTGTGGCGTATCGGCTGGCAATTCTCCAAGCCTGATAAAGGTCTGTAGTTGTGAAATCTCTTGAAAGACTGTTGGCCAGGACTTTGCTAGAGAGGAATTCACTTTAAACTAAATAAAAGGGGTTTTATTGGGACAAGGAGTTGGCTTCATGATTTTGGGAAGGTCTAGTTCAGAACATGGACTTACAACTGTCCATTTAGTGACGCTACAAAGTTACAATGGCACTGGAAAAAGTGACCGATGACTATTTTTCACACTTAACGACTGTTGCAGCGTGTTCCCCATGATCGTATGATCGAAATTCAGATGCTTGGCAACTTTTCCATCCTGGTTGCTGGTTAGTTTATCTGCCTCTGCTTGAAGAAAGAGTGAAGTGGGAGCAACATTCATTGGTCCACTTTCTTACGAACAAGACACGTTGGGGAAGAATCCTGGCTTAGAGTCTTTTAGGAATGCAGTGAGTCACCTGAGGCTATTGGCTCTTGCTAAAACATAAGGTCATATGGATCAGTGGGACTTTTTTTTGCAGAATCCTGTTTATGTAATCTGCAGTTTGACCTGAATAGCTTTGCATCTGCGTGTTCAAGTAGAGCGATTCTCGACTCCACAATTTCCTAAGGTGGAACAGTGAACGGCAGGATTTCAAAAACCGGTTCTTCCCCTTTCATCATTGTAGTACTCTTGGTCTAAAGCAGGGGTGAGCAACTCTGGCCCCCTTTAAAGCTGTGGACTTCAACTCCCAGAATTCCTGAGCTAGCCATGTATGGCTGACTCAGGAATTCTGGGAGATGAAGTCCAACAGTTCATAAAAGGACCATAGTTGCCTTTGATTTGAAGAGTAGGAAGGTAAAGTTTCCTTAGGTTTCCAAGAAGTGATTGTTTTGTTTCTCCCCATGAAATATTTGGATTGCTTACACTTAATGCTAAACCACATCTATTCCACAAATATGAATTTGTGTGGAACCTGTTTATCGATTCTCCCAATTTATCGGTGAGATGTTAAAGCTCTGAAGACTGATCTCATTCATTCAGACAAGCATAGCTCTTAAATACGTTTGAAAGTTTAAATAGATCGTGTAATATTTGTCTTTAACATGGCTTTCCTCATTATATTCCTCCATGCTGTCCTACCAAAAAGAATTTCATCTTAGCACCAGTCAAGTAAATATCTTAGAAATCTCCTTGAGGACTTGTTCAGGGCACCAAATCTCCATTAGCATTGATTATCTTTTATCCTACGTGGGTCATATGCACACACATAGTATTAAGCAATCAGGAATTTATGTAACATTGATATGGAAAGCTCCATTATGTCCCTTTAACAGTTAAGCACCACTTGCTTAACAAAAGATGTTTTTTCTCATCAGACAACCAGATGTTCAAAACGATGACAGCCAGTTGTAGAACCGAAGTAGGTAGTAGTTGAGACTTCACCATGGAGTGAGCCAAAATTCAAGAATAGAAGTTTTAAGCGCTGACAAGGAAGACAAGTAATCCAGGAGCAAATCCCAGACATGAATCAGCCAAATGAACAAAGTTTTTCAGAAGCAGCACTGTGAGCCACCAGATGCCACCGGATTCAATCATTGTAAATCTCGACATAAAGTTCTTGCTTAGGACTCTCTTTATTAGCTTACCCAATGTCATTAACAAATTACTCGTATTAAATGTTGAAGCTCAAGAAGGAAAGACCTCTTCCCTGCCATTTAAAGAAGAAACATTTGGTTTAACAATGTTTGGCTTGTGCTTTTATTAAATCATGTCTCAGTATTGACAGTTCGCTATAAATCATGCAGTTAATGGCGATATTATAAAACGAACAGCTTACTTGCTTAACTTGAATTTTGAAATGAGAGAACGATCCAGATCATTAAAAAAAATAATCAACATAATACTATTTCATGCTCTTAAGATCTTCTGGAAAAAGCAGCCCAGCTGTCAACATTATTCTTTTAGTCAGCTTTAAAAAGTCTTTGCTTTTGTTATGGAGCAGTTGAGACTTTCTTCGATTTCCAATTAACCAATTAATCCTTCCTGTGATTTTACTAATAAATACATTTTCATCAGAAGCCTCACAGCTTAGGGGCTGGGTGGTAGTTCATGTAAATCTTTTCAGCCTTGGTTTGATTTCTTAACTCTGCTTTTTTATTTTTTATTTGTTAATTTTAATTTTTTTTTAAATTCTCCTTTTAACTTCTTAATTTAACTTTTTAATTTCTCCTTTTAACTGTGCTATTTGTCACGTTTTTATATTTTATAGTGTTATAGTGTTTGTAAACAGTGTATAAAATTGATTGGACGGATGGGTAGGTAGGTAGGTAGGTAGATAGATACATGGGCAGGCAGACACATACATACATAGATACATAGATAGATACATAGACAGACAAACAGCCAGGCAGACCCGTTCTCTTCTAACCAACTATGGTGAAGAGCTGGCATCTTTTATCTCAACCAGAGAAACTGCGTTGGAGAGTTTGCTGAATTGTGTGCGTCAGGAGTCCTGGCCTGAACTGCTAGAGCCCTCGCTCACCATCCTTGCACATCTTGTAGCTGCAGAGTTTCCTCCCCGTGGCCACAACTTGTTCCTTCGGTGAACAAGAACGTCGATGCCTACCTTTGATCAAGAGATTACTTCGGGCATGACGTCAAACTTTCTCAAGGCCCAGGAAAAATCCTGCAAGCTTTGCAGTTCTCCCAACTTTCTGCCTTTATTAAAAGCCTTTCAGTGTCTCCTCTGGCCTAAGAAGCGGCCCGGCTGTTTTAACATTCTAAGTGAGATGATTATTCACTAACACACCAGCCGCTCTCTCTGCCCAACATGAGGGTTTGCAGTCTGTGTTCGATTTGGAGAAAAATATTTGAAGTTCTTGGAAGTGTCTTGTGATAGCATGAAAGCAAATGAACGTATTCTGGCATAAACTTTTGTGGATTCCATCCAATTCTCTCGTTTTCATATTTAAACACTTGGGAGACAGAAATTGTTACTGATCTAGTTGGATCATCTAAAAATACCCCAGTTGACCAATGCTGTCTTCTCTTCACCCCCAAATTATCCCGGATAAGAATACAGTTGACAGGCAGGAACTCTCAACAGGAATATTCTGTTCTTGCAAGATTTCAAAAATTGCACTGCCGTTCTTATTTGCCTTCCTATTCTGTGCAAAAGCCGTTGGAGAATTGTTTAATGAGACAGATCTTCCCAGGAAAAAAAAAACAGATCTAAACATTTCAGCGCCAAGTGATTTATCTTGTCTCTGTCTTCAAGATTAAAAGTATTTGGCATTGTTTTCTTATATTTGGCATCCCACAATAAATGCTAGATGTGTCGAGGAGCGATGCAGAATTCAGGACTATGGATTTCATTTGTTCCCCTGCTCCTCCTAGAAGTTATTGCTCCAGTACGTTGGCTCAAATCCCACAACTTTCAGCCTACGTCTTGCAGTTTATTCTGAGAAACCTCCATATATCTTAAAGTTGTTTGTGTTCCAGTAACGAGGCATTCCTTTCAATCAACGATTTAGAGAAACCTTATCTCCATCCTGCCTTCACCTTCAAATTCTTGAAGTAATTTGGAATGGTTATACATGTAACGATACCTCTCTGGTGTTTCATTTACCTCAGGAAAAATACTGAAAAAGTTATTTTCAAGATTTCCTGGGATTCCCCCCCCCCCCGCCCTTTTTGCCAGTTTAAATGATGTTTATTCCTTTCATTCACAGGTGATGGAGACCAAAAGCATGCTGTACCTTGTGACAGAATATGCCAAAAATGGTGAAATATTTGGTAAGCTTTCCGACTATAAAAATAGCTCGTTGGTTTCTTCCAACAGTTGCAGACCGTAATATATTTGGAAATTATCTTTGCTCTTAAAAACAGAAGTTTTCCTCTGCTCAGTCGTCCAGAAACAAAGGCAGGGAATTTTGGACGGTAGATTATTCACTCCAGTATGTCCTCTTGAGGGATCTTCAGTTCCAAAATTAAGATGGTTCCTCTTTCCATTGGCATGCTGTACCTTGCAAATGTTTCTCTGTTTGAGAAGGGGAAGTGCAGGCTTCATAAATTTCAATTTCCCTTCCCTTAGATTATTGGCAATGTTGGCTAAGATGATGACAACGAGAACATAACAACACAGATTCCTACATTCCAACTCTGTTTTAGGGCAAATGGCAAACATTTCACTGTGAACACAATTTGCTTTGGCTGTCTGGTGTCAACAGTTAAAACAAAATCATTTTTTATTATTCATAACCATTGATTGGGACTCCAGAATAATTTCTCAGGAGACCACATTGTCCTGCAAAAATCCATTCTGCAAATGTTCTCCAATCTTAAGTTCAACTTTTTTGAGTCTTGCATAGCTTTGAAATGTTTATTCCATTCCTTAACTCAGGATGCACAAGGGAAGTTTGAGATTGCACACCTGCAAAGGGGTAATGTGTAATCTCACTAGCACCATCCCATCGTGCTGTTGGGCACGGTCGTCATTTTAAGAGAGAAATGAACTGTATCTCACAAGCTTGTGCCTTTTAATAAAAATTCTGGAAAGATAGTACCAGATTCTTCCTGTTTGTGTTATCCAAATCAGGAAGAGGTCGCATATTTTCGGATTAACGCCTTTTATTAAAAGGTAGAAGCTTTTGTGAGGCATAATTCATTCCAAACTGACGTAGGATTTAAAGTTGGAAAAGGTGCGGAACTGGAATAATTTTGCAATTACAGGCTATTTGTAAGAGATTATTTTGTCAATTAATAATTGTAACAAATTAAAAACCCATTGGGCTTGTTGAGACCTTTTGAGATAGCCTAAAACATTTTGATGTATGTGTGTTCAGCAATCTCTTACTCAATGGTGCTGTTATTCGTTTCCCCCCACCCCCAAAATGGCTGCTATGAGATCTGTCATGGAATTCCTTTGAAAACCAAAGTACTTTGAATATTATTTTTGTCCTTATTTGGAAGCCTCGTGGTCAAACTTGTGTCGCGTCCATTCTTTTGGGCAAAGTTTGCCTTCGTTTGTTCTGCGCGGAATCCTGAAGGGCCATGTTTCTCCACCTTGACAGCTTTTAAGATGTGTGGACTTCAACTCCCAGAATTCCCCAGCCAGCTATGAATTCTGGGAATTGAAGTCCGTACATCTTAAAGCTGCCAAGGTTGAAAAAACACTGCCAAAGGGCACTGCTGGCTGATGATTACAGTCTGACGATAGCACATTAGAGAAAGATCATGTGAAGGTTCCCACTGTGTAATCAAAATAATCAGAATGTCCTGGAAGTGTTTAACCAGATAAGGTATACAAGGGAGTAAGAAGCGAACCCTGGAAGCCTTTTTAAGAGCTGAAATGTAAAGGCTGCCTTTAATTACTTAGCTTTATCTTGAGTTGTCGTTGGATAAGATTGCCGGTTCTTGGGTTGGATTGTGCAAAAAACGGTGGCACATGAACAATTATATGGCTAAGGGCGACTTCCTCCAATGTCACATTTCTTGGATACCCCTTTGTGTTGGGATGTTTCAGAACACAAAATCCAGAGGATGACTAATAGTCAGGCTGCAATCTTGGTTTCTATTTCAGAATAGCTTTGACAGGGTTTGCTAGATTAACCACAGAAGGAATTTGCGTAGGGTCCCTGATAGACAAGCAGCAAGCAAGAGTCTGGTCCCAACAGAAGAGAGTATTCGTTGCTCAGGGTTGAATTGTGGTTTCTGAGCTTGGTGGTTTTCTTGCAGACGTTTCATGACCAAACTGGGTAACACCATCAGAGCTAATGATTGTGTTATCTAGGTTGATAACCTACTGATAACCACCAAACTCAGAGAACACCAAGGACAAGCACAAGAGTTTGGTCTCCTAGTAGGGTGAGTTATATTCCATGTCCTTGGGCCTAATCCTTCCCTTGGCCCAGCTCGTGCAGAATGTTTCAATAAAATTCAGACAGTGGGATGAACATTATATGACTCCAAACCCTTCTAAGAAGAGAGACACCGATGAGAATTCTTGGAGGTATCTGCGTTGTCACCATTATTAAGTGGATTGGAGAATGTTCTCCTGGGCTCAATTCAGCCCATTTTCTGTGTAGCATAAAAGGGGGAGAGGTTAGACTTGTGTTTCTCAACCTTGGTCACTTTCAGATGCGCGTGGATTTCAACTCCCAGAATTCCCCCAGCCAGCCTTGCACATCTGAAAATGGTCATGGTTGAGAAACGCTAGCTTGGATTATTTTTGTCATGCTTCACTTCCTCTTCGATGGAGGCCGTGTCCTGCTCTGCAGATGCCGATTTCCTGGAAGGCATGGTGGCCCCGTGTGTTGCGGTCTGTCGGCCACCAGCCCCTCCAGCAGCTGAATCAGAGGAGGAGGTGGAAGTGTGGGAGTCAGGGCCAGCATCAGGGCAACCTGAGGGGGAAAAGAGAATGGATCTGGCAGAGAGAGAGAGGGCGGGGGAGGGAGGGAGGGAGAGAGAGAGATGGAGGCTAGGCCATCCGTCAGCACTCAGATGGAAGAGTCAACAGCCCCCAGGTCTGGAAGTGGCTGATGAAGAAGAGGAGGAACAACTAAGTCAAGTGCCTGATGCGCAGCTGCACAGAAGGCAGAGGAGAGGAGAGCAGTGGAAATCTATGGGCCGGTCCTTGGGACGGAAGAGCCACCGCTGCTAGTGAGGCCCCACCCTAGTTCTGGGGAATAAAAGGCAGGGGGTGGAGATGAAAAGGTGTGGTAGACAACTATTCATCTTCCGGGCCGACGGACGGACTCGTTAACCAGCGAGAGAGACATTTTTGCCGGGGCTGCCGGCACTCCTAATAAAGGAATCTTTTGAATTCACATCGAGAGGGTTTGTCGTGTTTGGGGAGCTGGGTCAGAACACTTTGGTTTCGCCCTGTTTAATCATCCTTGGTGGATAAATATTATTGTTGTTCTCCTTTTTAAAAGTATTTCTGTCTTTTTGCCATTTAGAAAAAAAGAAGGCCCATGGTGCTTTCACAGCTTTTCAGCTTCCCGAAGAGCCTAGCATTCGTTTCGGGAGGGGTGCGTGTGTGTGTGTGTGTGTGTGTGTGTGTGTGTGTAGCATGATTGTACAGTATTTCCAGGGCTCAGAGAGAAATCTCTTTAAGAGGAAATTCCTCATTGGGGCACCAGCTTGCGTGCAAGAACAGAATCAGTGGTTTTTTTTTTTTAATGATTTACGGTCAGTTTCTCTCTTTCTGCAGGAACATTTTTGGATTTTGTTCCTCTGGTATAACATACAATATCCTGTTCTACATTGGCAGTTTTACTGAGATTAAGGATCAGTAATGTTATCGACTGTTCTGAACTTTGATGTGCTGCTGAACAGAAGATAACTAAGCCTCGTTGTTGTGCATTGCACACCAGCAAGTAGATTTGACATCCGTACTTGGACATAAACATCCAGATCAGTTTTGAGGACTTAAACTCTATTTGATGGGGGGGAAAAGATAGCGTGACCTCTCGAATACAGGTAGTCCTTGACTTACAACAGTTCGTTTAGTGACCGAAGCTACAACGGCACTCAAAAGGGTGGCTTATGATCAATTTTCACACGTATGACCACTGCAGCCTCCCCACAGTCCTGTGATTTACATGTGGCAAAGTCCGCAAGTCTTAAAGTTGCCAAGTTTGGAGACCTCTGCCTAAATGAATGCTTGAAAGTTGAGGCTACCTGTATATCTCTTGGTGCTGCTATTGTGGAAGGAATGAACAGGGGCCTTTTATTCTGTGAAATCCACCTGCTTTCCGAAATGTGGCCTTTTTAAAGAACGTTAAAAATTGCCCACCAGGCAAGTAATGCTGAAACTGAAAAGGCCACGATCCATTTTGTCTGGTGCAGTAGAATTTGCATCTCTTTTTAATTACATACATAATGTATGTGAATCAGAAGTCTTCCCTGGTATTAAAAAAAAATTATGCAGAGCCATGCTCGGAATGTATTATGTCACCATGTTGCATAAAATATCACTCGTAACCTTATTTAGATCTTTTAGAAATGGTTTCAACTCTAAAAGTAGAAAAAAGCTTTAGAAAAAGGGCTGCTGAAGCTTTCTAAAAAGTTTTAGAAAAATTGGCATTTTCTTTCTTTGCGAATGAATTTTTTTTTTTAAAAAGAATAACACAGAAGAACTGAAGAGCGTGTGGGGGAGCCTTAAAATCACCAATAGCCTATGTGGATGGTTGTCTTTTTAAGTCACCTTTCTCAAGGCCATGGCAACTTCAAACTTTCGTTAAACGAATGATCGTAAGTTGGGGACTATCTCTAATTGAGGCACTTGGCAATCCCAAGTTCTTGGCTTGGAGGAGGTCCTCGTTTAATGGCAATAAGGTAGTGCTGAAAGGTAGAAGAGCAACTGGAACTCCATGCATTTGCCTTGTGGCAGTGAGAGTGGAGAACGAGGAGGTGGAAATTCCTGGGTGATGCCTCCAAACTTGCCCTAGTACCTTGGCTTTGGAAGAAGGAGGCTACAAGGTCCTTTCCGACTCTGTTATTCCGTCATTCTAAATTTGCTTTTTTTCCTCTGCAGCTTTACCACTAAAGTAGAATTTCCATGGCCTTGGAGGTAGATTAGGGTTACATGTGTACAAAGACATTTTATAAGAGCCCAGAATAGGGACACTGTTGATAATAAAAGTCAGCAGAAATAAATAATAGTTGGTGAAATGTTTCCTTTCCCCCCCCCCCCCTCGTCAACGCCGAGTTGGGTTTATATTAAATCCACTTTTCTTGTTGTAACTGCACATGATGCCGACTCCTGGCATCTCGTCGCATGTTTATCACTCATGTTTACATGTTTAATACCCTGAGCAAAGCT